CTTTCAGACAGTTCGTTATAAATCTGATCACGGTGAGTAAACCGTGTAAAATAAAAATCAACTACAAAGTTACGGAAAAACGTCTTATAAGCAGAACATTAATTATGTTCGGCGCAGCATTGTAGCCATTTTTATTGGTGATCACTCAGATGACTTTCATCAAATGTGATTGACTAATATTTGAACCGGTTTTATTGTAATCCGAGCCATCTGTATCGGTATCAAACGGCTCAGCCGGGTCACTCGGATTAAACTTTTAACTCGCGGAGTAGATTCTTAAATATTTTATTGAATTAACTTTAGGGTTAGGGTCATGGTATATATGAGTGTCGCTTAAAAAAAAAACCCGAAAATTTAAATATAAGTCATATTTAAATTTTCGGGTTTTCTTTTAGTGACACTCATATGCAAAATTGCCTTCCCCGACATTTTTACTTAACCTACCCAAGGTAGGTTTCAAGTTTTTCGCTTTTCTTTTGTTTCGCCGGAAATCATCAAAATTCTATAATTTGATTGGTCGTACATCAGATGATTATATTCCGCTTTTTACGACCCCAATTCGCCAATCAGACAAAGGTATCAAAATCTTTATTAATTCCAAAGAATTTTACTAAAAAGATCCTAAACTATTGAAATATTGGAGAAGTATGGAAGAACATTTGAGTTCTAGCGTCCCTTCAATCTCAGTGGCAGAAGAACCTGAAACCTCATCTATGCAAAAGAGTATACACTCTGAACATTCAGATGAATCAGAACAATTTATAGATCTACCGCACTCAGAAGAAGACAGTGATTATATGGTGTCTTCGTTACACTCTGGATCCGAAAAATCTTTAAACTTGAGCGGTACACTGATTAATGCGGAAGATTTTATTTCATCAGAAGATGATAGTAGTGTTAATTCAATGCATATAGGAGATACCGCTGATTCATACGAATTTCCAGAAATAATATTAAATAATGATGTTCCTGTCGTACCCGGGCCTGGAGAGAATCGAGAACAAATCCTCGCACCTTTAATTAGTGATGAAAATAGTGAACCGGAAGATGAAAACAGAATTTTTTCGACACCAATTCTTGCAACAACCCCAGAAGTTCGACCACCAAGCCCAGCAATTTCCGAAATTACTACTCATTCTAATGCATCGGAAACTCGAAAACGGAAATTAACACCTAATATTTCAGAAATTTTGCTTGGACAAAATCGTTATAATGATTTTCAATGGGAAGATATCGATTCACGTGTGCTTATAAGAAGATTTATTCATCAGGAAATGTTAGTACCATTTTTCCAAGGATTTAGTTGGGCAATTGGAATGCATCTTTATCGTTATTTACGATATGGGTTCTCGTTGAGGAGTTTATTTGGAGGTTTTTATACAGGATTTACAGGAAATACTGCGAACGTTCAGAAATGATAATAGTATTTAGTTTAATGTATTTTATGATTTTTGCCGAATCTTTAAATAAATGTTAAAAATTTGTTACCAGAGCTTCATCTAAGGTTAATAAATATGAACTCATTCAAGAGTTCATTAATCAGGTTGGGGATTTAAGTAGATGTATTCAGAGATTTGTCTAGTTGCACCTATTTTGTGTATTTAATTTAAATTGAAATATATGTATATATGTTTATTTATCTATTTATGATTATTAAAGTATATATAGCTTTTGATAAAACTAATCAACTTATGTATTAATATAAAATATTTTTTAATACAATTAAAACTATTCGCATTATATTAACAGGAATAAAAGAATTGTACACTTTTAATTATCGATTATAATCGACTATGAATGACTATCGTTTACCTTCAAATCTATATATATAGAACTTTAACACCTTCGCATATAGGTGCCTGGCATAGCGAAAAATTTAACGTGCCATATGGCATGCCAATTATTTAAATTTGTGCCAAGGTGCATGCCATTAAATTACATCTACATAATACGTATAAGAAAATCAGATGCATTTAGCATTAAAAACTGTCTTATAACTAAGATTACATCAGAAAACTTTTGCTTAGTGATCGGAAGTTAGTTGTAGTAAATTTTTGTTATTTACAATTTTTTTTTTTTTTACAATTTCTTATGTTTTTTTTTTTATATTATACAAAATCCTGTAGTTTTATTGGATCCGGACCAAGAAGTTTAGAGTCGAAAGTGATCCTGGGATAGATTAGCAACCAAAATTCAGCAGATCGACCAAAATTTAGGGTCGGAATAGGCCCGGAGCTAGGCCGAAATTATGCAATAACAGATAATACCAATCTTATACGTAGTAATGTGGGCTGCAATTTTATTAGCGTTAGTAAAATTTTGGGTGATTTTTGAAGAAATTTATCAATTTCGAGGTCGTTCTGCTGAATTTTGGTTGCTACTAATTTATAAGTGGCATGTCTAAACTTTATTGCTATTCAAAAACTTTACATTTCTAGTTTCAATAGATCTTGATTTTACCATCTTTTCTATATCATTACCTTGTTTTTTTTTTGTTTTTAATACTAACACATGGTACAGTCAGACCTCCATATAGTCATCCTCTATATAAGCACATCATATAAAATACTCTTTATAAGCATATCTATTAAACAAATTATTATAAATATATAATAAAATTTCTCTATATAAGCACAACTTTTTATAAACACTTTTAAAAAAAGCTCTGAATTTTTTGGTGTGATTATAGGGAGGTCTAACTGTATATCTACATAGGTTCTTCCATCATCTCAACAAAGTATATTGAAAATCCAAACGTTACATTTCGCTTATATCAATTGGATTTTATGCTAACCAATAACGATATGAAACCTCTTCAATGAAAGCAACTTGCCGTCTTATTATAATTATCTTAGTGAAACGAAATATCCGGGTAAATAGTCTTTTCATGAGGCATATTCATAATCTTTCGTATGAATCGTGTTAGAAGCATCCGAGAAAATTCCAAAAGGAAGTTATAGCGTTCCTACATTTCTATATACAGTACCAATTTGCACAAATTCAAATAACCCATAGTTACGCGTAAAGTTTGGAACCGGTTTATTTTTCATATGTTAAAACCGGCTTTAATCGGTTTTTACATATGAAAAATAAAACCGGTTCCAAACTCTAGTTACGCGCACTTAGTTTACTAAAATTGTGCATCGATTAGTTTCAAATAATAGATGTTTACGTCTTTTACCTTTATTGATTCAATAGTTTATTGAATAAGCTATTGAGATAAAAGATGATTTACACATAAACATGAACCGAAGTATATTATTTTAAATTTTGGCCTAAATTAAGCTTAATTTCCGGGGCAGAGCGGAGGAGCTTAAGTCCAGTCAATAGGTAAGAAATTTTGGGTTCCAACGTCGGTCATAAGTGTGTATAGATTTCATAAGTCCAATCGATTAAAATCATATCAGTTATTGTTTTTAGAAGTACAGTATTAAAATTTATGCAATTTCGACCCAATTGAACATCCATATTCGATATTATATTTTTATTTAATAATCATTATATAGTTACATTTTAATGCTTTTCATGAATTTTAAAAACCTTATCGTTATACATAACTCTCAATTTCATATTATATATCTGCTATTAGCCTAGATAATAGTCAGGTTTTTTTATTTAATTGTTACGAAGAATAAGTTTTCACAATAAAGACAACTTAAATTGTCAACTTTAATGAATTATCGTATCTATAGGCTAAATTTAAACGTTCAAACATACCTCTCATCTAACTTCTAAATTACTTTGTAGATTACCGAATTACTTTGAAATTTTATAAATCAAGATATATAAAATTTTTTTTGGTCTTAACCTTTAACAATTCGTATTCCTGTATTCGTGGGAAACATGTAGGACATATTGTGTAACATTTTATCCGATCATCCAATCAAAACTAAGGCGCTTATCTGATATTCACGTGTTTTTGATACAATACAAAAAAAAATTTTTTCTGAAATCTAATTGGTGTCGATCATTGTTTTTTTTGGGGGACGTCTAAAGCCGTGTCCAGTCACATGTTTTTTGTTTTTAATTAAAGTTAGGGTAAGGGTTGGTTT